GCTGTGCCTTATGGGGACTATAATCTAGACCTATCCCAATGGGATGGGTCTCTTCCCCCCCAGCCCCAAATACAGGTCGCCTTTCCACACATCCCCCACTCTCAATTGCCCCTCCCCCTCTGACCCCGCCCCTTTCTCCAGGCCCCGCCCCTTTCCGGCCTCCCCCTCACCTCGGGTTAAAATCTTGAAACAGGCCCCTCAGGTTCATGGCGCTCCTCCTCCCGCCCTCGCCGGTCCCTCTGCTCGGTCACCACGGCCCCATGGCGGCTCCAGTCCGAAGCCTCCCGGCGAAGGGTGGGGAAAAAACGAGAAGAAACCCGGCTCCCGCCTCAGCTCAGCCGACCATCCGCCACCTCCCCTTGCCTGCGCCGACTGGGTCTCACTGCGGCTGCGTCGAAGCCGGATCGCGCACGCGCGAGGGGGGGGCCCGCTCAGAACCTCGGGGGAGGTCCCGCCCAGCCCCGACCTCTCAAGCGTCGGGGAGTCTTTCCTTCCGCGCCTTGGCGCTCCGCCCCCCTCGCTTGTGACGTAAGAACGCCTCGAAGCCGTGCCCTCTTATGGGCAGCCCGTTGCAAGGGCTGGCAGCCTTCCTGTGCCAGGATGGGTTTTTCTTTTTTAAAAGGCAGATTCCGACAAGTGTCCAAATACGTGTCTGGAGAGATTTGGGGGTGGGGGTGGGGGTCAGCAGAAGAGGAATGCATTTTGTTTATTGCAGAGGGGAAGCATGGCAATTTAAAATAAAAATAAAAAGAGGACTGATCACGCATTCCTGGAATTCCTGGATGAAAAGAATGCAAATGCAACAGGGAAATAAAATAATCGGATTGCCAAACATGGTCGGAAAAGATATTTCTGAGAGGTAAGATCCCGATTTTGTCTTGTTCGAATGAGTTGATTGCATTTCTATGCTGACTTTTCTCTGATGTGCAAACCTGTCCATTTTATCTCTCTTCTAAATTCTCTTTTTTCTTCTTCCAAATTTGCCTGCGACAGCTATAAGTATCAGGGTTGCTGTAGGTGTTTATTGATTCGTGGGGGCAAATGAATGGAACCATCCAATGCCAACAGTTGTGAGCCTCAACCTTCTCATAGAACAGCTCAGCAGGGCTGGTTCTTTGGGGGATGAGTGCCACCTGGTGATCCTCGGGTAGAAGGACCGATAGAAGAGAATCTGCAAGAAAACAAGCAAGCTGAGAGACCACCAAGGGACCCCTGGCTTCAACCCTGAGTTACAAATATTCTCCTTCGTTGGAAACCACAATGCCCAAACTTGCTTGCTGGTGGATTGCCAGTATTGGTGGAGATATGATTGTTCTTCCTGGCATTTCCTTGATTAGAGGGATTATTTTCTGCTTGATGGTTTTGTCAGGGGTTAATTCAACCTGGAAAAAAGGAGAAATTTCAACCCATGGAACAGAAGTTGCCTTCGGAAATGGTGGGAGCTTCATTGCTGGAAGCTTTCAAGAATAGAATAGAATAGAATAGAATAGAATAGAATAGAATAGAATAGAATAGAATAGAATAGAATAGAATAATTTATTGGCCAAGTGTGGTTGGACACACAAGGAATTTGTCTTGGTGCAAATGCTCTCAGTGTACAGAAAAGAAAAGATACATTTGTCAAGAGTCAAGAATCATAAGGTACAACACTTAATTATAGTTATAGGGTACAATAGAAGAGAATTAGAATAGAATAGAATAGAATAGAATAGAATAGAATAGAATAGAAAGCAGAACAACAGAAGAGAACAGAACAGAATTCTTTATAGGCCAAGTGTGATTGGACACACAAGGAATTTGTCTTGGTGCAAATGCTCTCAGTGTCCAGAAAAGGAAAGATACATTTGTCAAGAGTCAAGAATCATAAGGTAATACACTTAATGATAGTCATCAGGTACAATAAGCAATCAAATTGGACTGCCATCTGTCAGAAGAAGAGATTGGACTCCCACCTGTCAGAAATGGTGTAGAGTCTCCTGCTGGGGTGGAGGGTTGGACTAGATGACCTACAAGGTCCCTTCCAACTCTGTTATTCTGTTATTATTATTCGGAAGATAGCAAGTAGAAGATAGATACTGTAGAGCAGGGGTCTTCAAACGTGGCAGCTTTAAGACTCGTGGACTTCAACTCCCAGAATTCCTCCTCCTCCAGTCATGTTAGCTCAGGAATTCTGGGAGTTTGAAGCCCACAAGTCTCAAACTTGCCAGGTCGGAAGACCCTTGCTCTGTCTATCGTGTAACCCACTCCCCAAGTTCTACTTCTAGAACGGGCACCTTGGTGAGGGTTTGGGGACCAGGGAGAAGCAGGTGACTTCTAACTTAGTGCTTTTTAAAGGGGAGGCCTTTCATCCTTTAAGAATAACCGGAGAATTCCCACCCACCCCCGTCCGATGTGTCCCAGGTCTTTTTTTGTCCTGAAGGCAAGCCCCCCCCGCCCCTCCCCCCCCCCGACACGCGTGTGCTGGGCTCCCACGAAAAGATTTGCAGAGACAAAGCTTGGGCGCGCACCGGCGCTTCGTGCGCGCAAGCCAGCTCGCTTTGCAACCTCAGCCGCCGCCCCGCGGGTCGGGGTGGCGCTTGGGAAGCCCTGCCCGCCGCCACCGTTTCCTCCTCCTCCTCCTCTCCTTCTCCTCCTCCGGAGCCTGCCTGGCTGGCTGGCCGGCGAACACCTTCCCCGGCGGGGCTATGGCTCCGGCGAGGCTCCAGCTCGGGTTCCTTGGCGCCTTCTGGGTCTGGCTGGGCTCCCTGATGGGCGGAGGTGATGCGCCTCTCGGATCCGTCCGGTTGGGTGGATGGGTGGAAGGAAAGCCTGCGCACCCACGGGCGGGGGCGAGGCGGTGACCCCCCCACCCCCGAGAAGGTTCCCACGACCCTCGGGGAGCCACCCGCTCTCTGCAAGCAGGAATCTGGGCAGGGGGAGATGCCGTTTGGGAGGTGGGGGAGAGAAAGAAAGAGCAAGGGAGGGAAAGGTTCAGGAAAGGTCCCTTCCAACTCTGTGACAATTTTCTTTTTCTTTTTTTTCCTGCGATTGCTACTTTTCTTTTTTGTCTCCTGCGATTGCGACGTTCTTTTTTTTTTTTTATTTCCCTGCTTCTTTCGGATCAGACGGATTTGCATATTTGCAAAGTGGGAGCGTTAAAATTGGGCTTGCAAATGGATTCGAAGCTGCCCCGCTGGAGGGTGCTTGCTTTGCCTTAGCAACGGTGTTATTGGTTTAACGACTGCATTGATTCGCTTAACGATTTCATTGGACTGCCATTTGTCAGAAATGGCGTTGGGTCTCCTGCTTGTGGGGGGGGGAGTTGGACTAGATGACCTACAAGACCCCTTCCAACTCTGATTATCTGTATTATCTGTATCTGTATAATCTGTACCTGAATGCAGAAGTAGACGAGCAATTTAACCACTGTGGGTGGCTGTGAGCAGCTGGTCTCAGCCGCAGCTAAATAACTCTCTTCTTTTATTTTGGTCAGCGATTAAAACCAAATTCATCTTTTTGGGTTGTTCCATTTCAGCGTTCAAAGCCACTGACTCTTCCAGGGGTCTTCTGTTAGGCTATACTTTTAATAAATGTGTTTAGAAATATCTCTCTCCTCCCACAAGAGTGCTTAAAAATGTAGGGATGATTCATAATAACATGATAAAACCACTGTTCACTTAAACCAGGAAATATGCAGAAACTGCTCAAAAATTTCCCTGTGTTAAATTCCTCTGGCAGTGTCTCTAAAGCAGAAGTGAAGATTTTTTGGGAATTGTAGCTCCCCTCTCTTCTCAACAGTTTCCCTTCCCTTCTCAATAGTCTTCCTTTCCTTTCCTTTCCTTTCCTTTCCTCTCCTCTCTCCTCTCCTCTCCTTTCCTTTCCTTTCCTCTCTTCTCCTCTCCTCTCCTCTCCTTTCCTATTTTCCTTTTCCTTTCCTTTCCTTTCCTTTCCTTTCCTTTCCTTTCCTTTCCTTTCCTTTCCTTTCCTTTCCTTTCCT